GAATTTCTCTTTAAAACAAGACTTTTGTTTGTCAAAATTGTTCTAGATTTTAATAGGACGTAGCCATTCGTTATGTCGATCTATTTTAAGGAAAAAAGCAATTAGAGAAAATTTCATAGTTAGACGGTTAGAATTGTCTGCCTTCGATATGTTATATTCTGGTCCAAGCATGCTATTCACCCTTCTTGTGTATTCATTTTTCGAACGAACCTTCATGTTCAAACAACCACACAGATATATCGAACACTATAGCCCAGTGCAATGCCACCCTCACATGATTAGATTCAAGGTTCTAGCGTCTTATACTCACACTACAGGCAATGTATGATGCATAATGCATCCTGATAGTAGCTTCCCGCAGGTGAACCTGGGGGGCTCGTATAAACTTATAATACTCTTGATGACGATGGGTGTGTTGTTTTTTCCGTCATGTGTGCCGGGCTATTTGAATTTTAAGCAGTTTAGGAACACTTTGATTGGCTTTTTGAAAGTATTTCTGAAAGCAAAGTTTCTGTATCTTTTTTCAGCATCATTGTCGAAGATGTGGAAAATGCTTTTGTGATACATGCTGCAGCCAACAGATTGCCTTGCCTCGTATGTGCTTCATTGACCCTGTTCGACATTGTGGTGATTGTTATGACATAACCAAGAAGGAAAATGAGTTTTTTGACAAGCACATCAGGACATTGCAATCTGGTGAGACCATTAAAAAACCTCCAACTTTTTTGGAGTATTTTAAAAGGGTTTCTATGGTTTTTATGAATATTGATATTGAGTTTTTCTTCAACTACCACTATAAAAGTCAATTTGACAATTGGTTACATTGTATAGTCTGGTTAACTATTCGTGGTATAATTTCAGCTCTAATGGTTATTTAATGACAGAGGAGATTTTTGTTTGCTTTATCAAAGTCAAGTAAGTATTGAAGCACCCTTTCTTGCGTATTCTACTTGGGAATCTTTGGGCTCAGGCATTAGTGTATGTTATCTTTTATATTTGTATAGGATATTTTGTGAACTGATACTCTGTGAGTGTTGTTAATTTTGTTGATACCATGCTGGACTGTAAATTATCTGATTCTGGTCTGACTATGTAACAGGGCACTGTTGAACTCGTCTTGCTGGGGGAGTTCACAAGGCTGTCCACGCTCTTTACTTTTTCCTTTACTTTAGGCAGATGTACATTAAATTAAGGTTCTACGCCTGTTAAATAGAGTAACCAAAGCAAAAGTGTTGAAAGTGGTATTAAACCTGTACTCGGCAGGAACACACTCTGAGAAAGTTTTGAATGGATAAAGTACAGTTGAACCTGTTCTAATGGCCACTTGTACAAGACAATCACCTGTACAAATGGCCACTTCCCATTTCCTCCCTTGCCTTTCTCTTTGACATTAAAATGATACTGTTCAAGATGTCCACCCGTCTAAGACTGTCACTTTTCTCCTCAAGAATGGATGGCTTTTTTAGACAAAATTACAACTGTATATAACCTCAGTTTGGGGAGTGACTTTCCCTCTCTGGCCTTGTGCTCTAAGTGTAAGTAAGGTTTGCTTGTGTGCAATAGTAAGGAAAGTGGACTAATTAGACTCTTTGTTTCCATATATAGGTGGTCACTTCCGTCTGCACAACAGCGATTCGAATATTATGCCTATAGGAGCCTTTAAGTGTCAACTTTCAAATGATGAAAGGTGAGTGTGCTTTTTGTTTTTGCCTTTGTGTCTTGACAGATGCTTTTTGTAAAGCACTAAGCATGATATATACAGCTTTTCCTGGGTGGTAGACGTAGAGCAAGTAGCCTGCCCAATTACTGCTTCCCTCCCTTCAGATCTTGATTTCCTTTATATGCTCTAAAAGAGAGACATGGTCAATGCGTTTGGAATCAAGGAAGGTGCAAGAGTGTTCATTACTATTTTACAGTTACAGGTGTGATAGGGACATTATTAATGGTTGAGAATTTTGAATATTTTGCAGGGGTGGTGGCTTAAGGTGCCTTTTGCTGTGTAGATGTAGCATGCATTTCTGAGGATAAAGCTATTCTGTGAAATTTGGATTTGGTGGAGAATCAAGAAATGGAATTTCAAATATTTAGAAAGTTGATATGGAACACAATTTTGAACATAAATCTGGTTGTACTCAGAAAAACAGAGAAAGCCATCATGTTTTGAAGTTAAACATAAATGATCATATTTTGTTCTTTTTCTCCTGTCAGAGATCAGATTCTATGTTAAATAATTGATTTCCATAATAACTTTATCTTTTGACCTTAGTCTACTATTTCAAAAACCTTTTGCTTGAAGACCTGAAGGGATGTGAAAGCAAAATATTATAATTTGGCTGAATGGTATTCAAATTGAAGATTTCGTGTACTCTCTCGTGAAAAATATTTCCAGAAAAATTTCAGGTTGACATTCTTAAAAATTTTTTTTACAAATTTTTTATTTGTACTGACTAATGACACTGCATCTCTTGGTATTCCCAGGTTTCTTGAGTTTGTCAATGTCACTGGACAGGAAAACATTGCTCTTGAAAAAATAGAATCTGTACAGATTGCTGCAGCTGAAATTGACCTCCAAGGTAGTGTAGTCTTTGTGTGTTTGACAGAACAACTTTTTGCCAATACTAATAATTTTTGAATGTTCATAGCTGCCACTGTCCCGCTAAATAGCGGAAACTCCGCTTCATCTAGTTTTACCCACTACTTTCCTCCTTCCTCCGCTGGACCGCTCTCGGTCGCAAATTGCGATACTTTTTTTTTTACACGCGGAAAATACCGAATCGGGAGAGACGAAACGCGGCTTGCGCATGTCCACCCGTAGCTTTCTACTTCCGCTCGTCTTGGCCTAGCGCTAGTTTCACTTTGTTTATTGTGGAGCAACACAGTGTCAATCGAGCATCTGGACGTTGGCGCGCCAAGTTGTCATTGAAAACGGCGGAAATTTGAGAGAAATATGCAGAATGCAAAAATAAAAGGAGCTGGAATGAGAAAGAAGCAGCCGGTGTTCTACTTGAACAGATCAGTAGAAGATTGAACAAGCCGCTTGTTGCCCTTTGCGTTTGGTGCGACAAAGTTGCGGCCCACGGCACTCCTGTACAATTGCGGTCCTGTTTGTTTACATGACGGCTATTGTGGCTGTGGAAGTGAATCTAGATCTAGATAATCTATCTCTAGATAATCTAGATCTACACATATTTGGATATCTAGATTCCAGATCTAAATTAGACAGCCTAGGCTATAATTTTAATTCAGTTTAGATCTCTAAGTAAGAAACACACTACAGGGGCATTAAGTGCAAACGGGGCACAATTGTATAGGAGTGCAGAAATCGCTCAGTACAGCGGCAAAGGTGTTGCCTCCTTGATCCAATACTGCTCTACATCGATGCACACGTTTTATGAGACGCCAGCTGTCAACAAACACTGGATTTTCAGTCACCAAGTTGACCAAGTTCAAACTGTCAAATTGACTCAAGTGCTTGTTAGTCAACTTAGTGCCTTTTTTTTTTTTTCAAATACATTTTAATTCCGATGCCTATGGTTAACAAACATGACAGTTTTCCCTTCCAAAACCGTAGGCTAGATTTTCCAGTATACTGCCTCTGGATCTCACTGGTTTTACTCCGGCCTTCAGAGAGCGTGCGTGCGCCTTCGCGTGAATTTCCTCCTTTTTTGAAATTCCTGAGTGGCAGCTATGATGTTGCGCATCACTGGGGAAATTATGTGACTAAAGAAAATATGTATTGAATGTATCAGAGGACAGTTCGCTTGCAAAATGTTATTTTTGGTTTTTCATAGAAATGAGAGGAGAGGAAAAAATTTTCTCACTTGTTTTTAACCTCCTTTTCGCTGATGTAGCTCCTGCTCCCACCTTTTCACCTCTGCCTAAAATATATCAAAGAGTATATAGGGGAAAAAAAACCCATACTGCCAACCAATTTTTTTAGCTCTTGTCTTTTTTTTTGCCTTTTTAAGCTCTTGATTCATAAAATTAGCCTTGGCTTACACTTACAGGAGTGAACTGATAATGTGTGCTGCTGTACCTATTTTCAAAATGGGAGAAATGTTTCATTTATTCTCTCAGCTTTAAGTTGTGTAATAGTCATTGTGAAATTATTTCGGAGAATGTTAACAGGAATTTTTGTTCTTCAAGTTACGTTTTGTAAGCTTTTTATGACAAGGGAAAGGCCTAGAGTGCATATTGTTGCTAACATGATCATTGGCTCCAGTGCTGGAATGCGCTGGCATGGAGGTCAAGTTGGTATACTTTTGTGGCTCTTTACATGTTTTGTGCTCTTCAAAGTGTGAAAGATAACCGAGAGTTGTACATAACATATATGTTTTAAAAAGATAGCATGCTTTTTCATTACAAGAATAGCTGTCTAGATTTGTTTGTATAGCTTTGTAGAACATTAGAAATTGGATAAAAAATTGTCCTGGCTATACAAATTTTAAGTGTTTAAAACTGCTCAGTTGAACGAATAATTTCAATATACGGTCGCCTCAGAACTTTTTTGTCTGCAGTGTACCTAAGTAAAGAGGCACTTTGGACAAAATAGTTCTGAGGCGATGATATTATGATCTTCTCATATCATTAACTTCTTTTTGAAGCCAGTCTTTACGGAAATGGATGCAGAAAGAGGTTTGCAAAGTGTGCTATATATGTGAGGCATCAGCTCAATACTTTTTTTTTCATTAAAAAACATATTTCTGTGTGGATTTTACTGAAAAACATTGATTTAAGACACGAAAAATGTAACTTCTCAGTTTCCATGGACTCTCATGCTATGGAAATTATCAAACTTTGGTGCACGTTTCTCACTAATTTTACCTCTGAAACCAGGCGGCCTTGACCTCCTTCAATTGCAAATATTTTTACTTCCATTCAACATAGATGGGTATTTTTTCACCAAAAGCAAGGCAAATGAACAGGCTTTAAGATGATACCAATAACCCCATATGCCCAAAATTTGACGAGCGCCTGATTTCACCATGTCGTGACACATCGTGAGATCAGAGCATGCAAACATTTCAGCTAAATCTGTACAACTGACCCAGCACTGAGCATTCTTGTGTTACTTTACAATGAAGTTCACACAGAAATGTGCTTTGTAGCTAGACACAATTTCAGAAACCTGTGCATAGATTTGCTTTCAGGTGGTCAAAATTATCTGTAAACAGTCATTAATTAATGTTTTTGCCTCAGTGGCCTGCCTTCCTTTTGCTTGCTGACCTGCTGGGACCTCAGCAGTCCCCTATGCTAAAGAGAAACAATGTTCCAATCAATAAAATTGGAATGCTTTTTAGTTCTAACAAACCTCATCTGCACAAATGAAAGAAATAATATATGTCAAGACGCAGCGGAATCAGGCGCTCGTCAATTTTTGAGCTTGTGGAATTATTGGTATTATCTTCAAGAGTTTTCATTTGTCTTGCTTTTGATGAAAAAAAATACCCATTTATCTTGGATACAAGTGGAGATATTTGCGATTCAAGGATGTGGGGGGCGCCAGGTCTCAGAGATAAAATAAGCGAGGAAATGGCCGTCAAAGTTTAGTTATTTCCTTACCTTGAGAGTCCATGGAAACAGAAAATTTACATTTTTGTATGCCTTTAATTGACGTTTTTCAGTACAATCCACACAGAAATGTGTTCTTAAATGGACATGGAAGGTGCTGAGCCAAAAAACAAAAATTCGATACAAATTCCCGAACCTATGGAAGAATGCCAGTTTCTTCACTTTCATTGTTTTGACGAGCACCTGATTTCACCCCGCTGCTTCACATAGGTTTCCTCTGCTTGAGAAATCTTTTGTTTGAAATATTTTGAAGGTATACAAATACAGTAAAACCTGTGTAAGACGACCACCCATTGTCAAGGAGAAAAGTGTCTGTATAAGACAGGTGGCTGTCTTATGCAGGACTGATCAAGATTCGGAAAAGACAATCAATCATTCCTATCAGAGGTCCCAATCGAAATAGCTGCATTGTTGTTGTTTTTGTTGTTGGTGGTGGTGGTGGTTTGTATTTTGTTTGTAATTTTTATTTTGTTGCTGATTTCGCACAAGGGTGACAATAAAACGAAATGTATCAGACGAGGAAGACCGAGTGCCATGTAAAAACAAACACATGGGTCGCCACCACTCGGAGAACGAGCGACATTTCTGTCACAAGTTCATGTTGACGTCCTTACTTACTTTGTTACAGACTGGGTAAACAGTGACCACTCATCTCACTTACGATTTGTGTGGGCGGGGCTTATGGGTTATGAGGGATCACACGCTTACCTCACCAGCAGCTGAAAATTGGTAGCTTTTGGTCAACAGTGGGAGGGGCCTACGCAACATGATCAGTTGGAGGGACTACCTAACAACAAGGACAGGGGATTGAATTATGACGGCTCGCCCACAACGCCAGGGGCCAATGCACAATTTATGACTTAACGAAATGGAGTCACTAAGGTGGCCGTCTAAGACAGGTGTTATTGCTTAGTGTGATAGGGGTTGTGTGTTAAAATAAGGTGGCCGCGGCCGCATTGGACAGGTGCCCGTTTTACACGGTTAAATTATATAGAAAAAACGCAAGGGGGGAAATGGAAAGTGGCCGTTTGTACAGGTGGCCGTCTTATAGAGGTGGCTGTCAGGACAGGTTCGACTGTAGTTTGAAGGGTTTGTTTAGAGGCCTACTTCCAAGGGAGTTTGGAGTATTGTCTTCTTTTGTCCTGAAGATGTTTCTGATGGGGGACAAGTGAACTGCTCATCAAAATGTATCGCAGAGAATATCATCTGTTGAATGTTGATTTTCGAATCTCTTAAAACCCCCGGGGTGGTGCCACTGACTGAAGTGTCTTTAGGCCATTCCCAAAGGGGGGACATTTCTAGTTCATGCACAGTAGAATTGTAAATGGGCTGATTCATCAATGTCACGCTCATAACTGTGCCTGATCTACAACAGGGAACTGCTGCATTTTCTTTCCCAATCCTTACTATTGTCATTTTCCTCCACTTCTTTTGTATGTTTGTCACACTCTTGTGACCCGCTATTTCTGGGGTGCCTTGAAAGTCGACACAGACTTTGTGCTGCTGAAGCTAGAGAGGTGACCAGAGTAAGCCTGGTTCCCTGTAAAGGCTTTTCTGTTGACATCCACCCCTTGGCGCTCATATGAACTTATGCAGTTGCGAGTGCTGTAAAACCTCTACTAAATAAAAAGAAAATGAATCTCTTGTTTGTTTTACTTCTGATGATGAATGAATGAGTACATTATTGTCTTCCTTATTGAAGTTGTTTACTTTACTTCATGACTGAAATCCACAGGAAATCATGTTGGTACAGGCATTGCTATTCGCTATGCCAACAGCGTTGACAACACAGTACTCCTGAAAATGGAAGTTGAGGAGAACTCAGATCGGAAGCAAAGTATGAGCTGGGTAGCAGCAATGCAAAAGGTATGACTACAGTTTCTATCTTACTGCTTTTTTTTCTGTTTTATACAATGACCAAACAGAATAGGTTCAAAGTCAGGATAATCATTCCTCAGTTTAATATTTTGACTTGGTGGTATTTGTTTCTCAGATCTCGTCATCATTTTCTAAATGGTACACAGTGTCAGATAGTTCTCTTTTTGAACCTCATTGCTGCCCGAAGCCCTTTCCTTTACTTCAAATGAACACAGGGTCAGTGTTTAGGATAAAAGGTTAACTCACTGGAGATGTTTCACGCAGCTTTTGCGAGCCCTAATAGTTCCCCTGCGAGAACAATTTTTGCGTTTTTTCCTCGGCAAAGTATGCGCGAAACACTGCGTGAACCATTTCTTACCGCGCAGTGGACCTTTGTTTGGTTTCGTGCGAAGTTTCACCGGAATAGGCTGGAAACGTTATGAGTTATGGACCCGGAAGGAAAGCTGGTCACACTGAGGCCCTACTTTCGTTTCTCTGACATGCCTGCTCTCGCAACACTTTGTCAGTACAATGGCAGCACGTTTAGTTTAAGAGTTTTACAGCACTTGCAACACAATAAGATCACATAAGTGTCGAAGATTAGGTGTCACAAAAGAGTAACAAACTCAAAAAAAGAAGGAGGAGAGATCAGGACAAGAGTTGTTTGATAGGAAAGAAGGAGCAAACCACACCAGAGCACCCGCCAACCACCCACTTGGCAGCACGAAAAAGCAAACATTTTCAAATGTTCGACGACTTTGACAGTTCAGAAAATTCTGATTATGATATTTTAGACCATGGGGATCCTGATTTCAATGTAAATGAGTATCAAAGCGCTGATTCTGATAGAGAGTGTTCTAGATCTAGACTAGGCTTTAAATGCAAAATTCTGCTTTGTCTTGAGCCTTGTTTTTTTCACACTGAAGTGGATTAGACAGCTAATACATAAGGATTACCATATTGATTTCGTGCCTATTCATGAGTTTAGACTTTTTATTCATTTTGAAACACAAAACACAAAAAAAGACATACAGGTAATGTTAATTTGGGGGGGGGGGGGGTTGTTGTGGTTTTTTTTTACACAAGACATTATGTTAAAAAATTTTGGCGAGCAACAAATTATTAGCACATTTTCAAAAAAATTATTTCTCAAAAAACTATAAAAGATAATATTGCCTTTCTGTTTATTTGTCATATTGGGCATTTTTAGATCTGTTATAAGTGTAAAAATGGTGGTTGTATGTCTTTGGGAAGGGTGTTGTTTGAAATGTTGAAATACCCCCAAAAATGCCAGTCTTCAGGGCTTGTAGACCCGAAAAAGGCCCAGTCTCCTGTGAGTTAAACATAAGATGCAATGCCTTCTATCTTCTTGTTTGTTTTAGTAGAGGTTTTATGGCGCTCACAACTGCATAAGGTCATATGAGCGCCAAGGGATGGATGTCAACAGAGAAGTCCTTACACTTACAGGGAATCAAGACTTACTGCGCTCACCTCTCTAGTTTCAGCAGCACAAAGTCTGCTTCGACTATGAAGGCATCCCGGACATAGCGGGTCACAAGAGTGTGACAAACATACTAAAGAAATAGAGAAAAATAACAATAGTAGGGATCAGGAAAGAAAATGCAGCAGTTCCCCGTTGTTGTTCAGGCACAGTTATGAGCATGACATTGTTAGATCAGCCCATTTGCAATTCTACTGTGCACTAGAACGAGAAATGTCCCCCCCTTTGGGAATGGCCTAAAGACACTTCAGTCAGTGGCACCGCCCAGGGGGGTCTTTGATCTTCTCCTCGACGATAATTAGATTGGCACATAATGGAACTGACTTTGATAAGTATTTTCCTGTGCGGAGTATGTCAAAGCAATGACAAAAATGTGGAGAATGAGAGCTGTAAAATGGAGTTAAATCCAATTTAGTACAGTTGAACCTGCTTTAATGGTCACATGTCTTAGACACCCGTACAAATAACCACTTCCTTCTTCCCACTTCCTCCCTTGCCTTTTTTTTTCTAAATTATAATGACACTTTTGAAGATGTCCACCTGTTTAAGACAATCACTTTTTTCCTCGACAGTTGGAGGCCATCTTGGACAATTTCATCTCTGGAGCTTGTCCTAAAACTTTTAATCAGTAAAGGGTTGAATATGGGAAAGTGATAATAATGGGATGTTGTAAGTGATTTTGGTTCTTCTTTTTTGTTTTCAGGCTTTCAAGCTGATCTATGAATCAAGGACTTCAAACAGTGCATAATTGAGCCCAGAACTTGTCATAAATCTCTTGTTCTCCCATGTCGTGCCTTCAGAGTTTGTACATACAGCATATTTTCCACCGACCCCTCAAAGGATTTTTATGGCAGATGGCAGCGATCCAAAGTCTTCTGTCTGAATAAAAATTCCAGTTCCAGGGTAAAGAGACATTTTTGGTAGCCTCTGGTTATGAAACAGAGGTACGTGTTTAAAGAAAAAAAAAAGCTAATTTATGCAATTTTCTGTGATAGAAAGGCTTTATTCAAGTCATAAGTTTTGAGTATCCAAACATGGTAAATTTGATACCTGGGATCTATTGGGTATGATGATTTTTGTAAATTATGTTGTAAAGAGTAAGCTGAGTGTCACTTTCTTGTTCCTTTTTTTTTTCCCCCTTCAGTGTTTATATCATATCTGCAAGAACTTATGACTTTGTTTTTCTGCCTCACTCACTTTTTCCGGGTGTTTGCCAGTCTTTCTCTCTGTCTCTGTCTCTGTCTCTGTCTCTGTCTCTGTCTTTCTCTCTGTCTCTCTGTCTCTGTCTCTGTCTCTTTCTCTCTGTCTGTCTGTCTGTCTGTCTGTCTGTCTGT